CAGATGTGTCAGTGCAGGGTGGCAGAAGGACAGATCTGTGAGTGCAAAATGGAGAGAACAGATTTGTCAGTGCAGGGCAGTGGATGGGACAGGTCTTTCAGTGCAGCGTGGAGGTGACAAATCTGTCAGTGTGGGGTGGTGGAGGGGACAGGTCTTCCAGTGCAGGGTGGAAGTGACAGGCTTATCAGTGCAAGGTGATGAGGGGACAGATATTCCTGTGCAGGGTGGTGGAGGCATGCATATGTCAGGGGTAGGGGACAGGTCTGTTAGTGCAGGGCAGTGGATGGGACAGGTCTTTCAGTGCAGCGTGGAGGTGACAAATCTGTCAGTGTGGGGTGGTGGAGGGGACAGGTCTTCCAGTGCAGGGTGGAAGTGACAGGCTTATCGGTGCAGGGTGATGAAGGGGACAGATCTTCCTGTGCAGGGTGGTGGAGGCATGCATATGTCAGTGCAGGCAGGTGTAGGGGACAGGTCTGTTAGTGCTGGGTGGTGGAGTTGACAGATCTTTCAGTGCAGGGTGATGAAAGGGACAGATCTACCTGTGCAGGGTGGAGAGGACAGGTCTGTCAGTGTAGACTTGCAGAGAGGACAAATCTGTCAGTGCAGATCTGTCAGTTCAGGGTAGTGGAGGGGACGGGTATGTCAGAGGAGGGTGGTTGAGGAACAGAACTGTTAGTGCAGGTCAGTGGAAAGGGCTGATTTGTCAGTGCAAGGTGGTGGAGGAAACAAGTCTGTCAGGAACGGGTGGAGGGGACAGGTTTGCCAGTGCAGGGTGACGAAGGGGACATATTTACCAGTGCAGAGTGGAGGGGACAGGTCTGTTAGTGCAGGGTGGAGGAGACAGATGTGTCACTGCGGTGCGGTGGAGGGACAGGTTTGTCAGTGCAGGGTGGAGGAGACAGATGTGTCACTGCGGTGCAGTGGAGGGACAGGTGTGTCAGTGCAGGGTGGAGGAGACAGATGTGTCACTGCGGTGCGGTGGAGGGACAGGTTTGTCAGTGCAGGGTGGAGGAGACAGATGTGTCACTGCGGTGCGGTGGACGGACAGGTTTGTCAGTGCAGGGTGGAGGAGACAGATGTGTCACTGCGGTGCAGTGGATGGACAGGTCTGTCAGTGCAGGGTGGAGGAGACAGATGTGTCACTGCGGTGCAGTGGAGGGACAGGTCTGTCAGTGCAGGGTGGAGGAGACAGATGTGTCACTGCGGTGCAGTGGAGGGACAGGTCTGTCAGTGCAGGGTGGAGAAGACAGATGTGTCAGTCCAGGATGGCAGAGGATTTACTAGTGCAGGGTAAAGTTCCAGAGTAGAGTGGATATGTCTGTCAGTGTAGGGCAGTGGAGGGGACAGATCTGTCAGTGCAAGGTGCAGGGACACATCTGTTAGTGCACAGTGGTGAAAGGGACAGGTCTACTAGTGCAGGTTGGTGGAGGGGACGAGTCTGTCAATGCAGGGTGGAGGGGACAGATCTGTTCAGAGCAGGGCACCGGATAAAAAAGATCTTTTAGTGCAGGGTGGGGGAGGGACACATACGTCAGTGCACAGTGGTGAACTGGGCAGGTCTATCAGTGCAGGGTGGTGGAGTGGAGAGATCTGTCAGTGTGGGGTGGCGGTGGGGACAGACATGTCACTACATGGCAGTGAAGGGGACCCATTTATCAGTGCAGGGTGGCGGTGGGGAAAGATCTATTAGTGCAAGGTGGTGGAGAGGAAAGATCTGTCAGTTCAGGGTGAAGGGGAGAGTCCCATCAGTGCAGGATGGTTCAAGGGTCAGATATTTCAATGCAGGGTGGAGAGGACAGGTGTATCAGTGCAGGGAAGCGGAGTGGGTGGATCTGCCAGTGCAGGGTTCTGCTGGGGACAGATCTGTCAGTGCAGGGTGGCTTAGGGGACAAGTCTGTTAGTGCAGGGTGGCACCGGGGGAAAGATTTGTCCGTGCAGGGTGGCAGAAGGGTAGATCTGCCAGGGCAGTGAATGGGACTGGCCTATCAGTGCAGGGTGGCAAAAGGGTAGATCTGTCAGGGCAGTGAATGGGACTGGCCTATCAGTGCAGGGTGGCAAAAGGGTAGATCTGTCAGGGCAGTGAATGGGACTGGCCTATCAGTGCAGGGTGGCAAAAGGGTAGATCTGTCAGGGCAGTGAAGGGGACTGGCCTATCAGTGCAGGGTGGTGGAGGGACACGTCTGTCAGTGCAGGGCGGTGGAGGGGACAGGGCTATCAGAGCAGGGTGGTGGAGGGACATGTCTTTCAGTGCAGGGCGGTGGAGGGGACAGGGCTATCAGAGCAGGGTGGTGGAGAAGAGAAGGCTGTCAGTTTAGGATGGAGGGGACAGATATCTCAGTGCAGGGCGGTAGCGGAGAAAGGTCTGTCAGTGCAGAATGGAGGGGACAGATCTGTAATTGGAGGATAGAGGGGACAGATCTGTCAATGTAGGCTATAGGGGACAGATCAGTGCAGGGTGTCAGGGAGAGGTTAGTGCCGGTGGAGGGGATAGATCAGTGTAGGGTGGAGGGGAGAGGTTAGTGCTGGTGGAGGGGATAGATCAGTGTAGGGTGGAGGGAGAGGTTAGTGCTGGTGGAGTGGATAGATCAGTGGAGGGGGGGGGGAGGGGTTAGGGCAGGGGGAGAGGAAGGGATAGATCAGTGTAGGGTGGAGGGAGAGGTTAGTGCTGGTGGAGTGGATAGATCAGTGTAGGGTGGAGGGAGAGGTTAGTGCAGGTGGAGAGGATAGATCAGTGCAGGGTAGAGATAAGTGCAGGGTGGAAGGGAGAGGTTAGCGCAGGTGGCGGGGATAGATCAGTGTAGGGTGGAGGGGAGAGGTCAGTGCAGGTGGAGAGGATAGATCAGTGCAGGGTGTCAGGGAGAGGTTAGTGCAGGTGGAGAGGATAGATCAGTGTAGGGTGGAGGGAGAGGTTAGTGCAGGTGGAGGGGATAGATCAGTGTAGGGTGGAGGGAGAGGTTAGCGCAGGTGGAGGGAGAGGTTAGCGCAGGTGGAGGGGATAGATCAGTGTAGGGTGGAGGGAGAGGTTAGTGCAGGTGGAGGGGATAGATCAGTGTAGGGTGGAGGGAGAGGTTAGCGCAGGGGGAGGGGATAGATCAGGGTAGGGTGGAGGGAGAGGTTAGTGCTGATGGAGGGGATAGATCAGTGTAGGGTGGAGGGAGAGGTTAGTGCTGGTGGAGGGGATAGATCAGTGTAGGGTGGAGGGGACAAATCAGTGTGAATTGGAGGGCACAGATCAGAGCAGTGTGGAGGGGAGATGTCTGTGCAGGATGCAGGGACAAGGTGAGTGCAAGTTGAAGGGGAAAGGTCAGTGCAGGGGATAGAGCAGTGCAGCATGGGGGAGGAGGGGGCAGATGAGTGCAGGATGGAGGGAACAAATCAGTGCAAGGTGGAGAGGTCTGTGCAGGGTGTCAGTGCAGAGTGGAGGGGGGCATATAATTGTGATGTGTAGCAAACATATTTGTGGCGGGTAGAAGGGCATTGATCAGTGCAGGGTGGAAGGGACATATCAGTGCGGGATGGAAGGGACAGATCAGTACAGGGGAAAGGGTACAAATCAGTGCAGGGTGGAGGGTAGAGATCAGTGCAGGGTGGAGGGGAGAGGTTAGTGCAAGTGGAGGGGATAGATCAGTGCGGGGTGAAGGGTACTTATCAGGGCAGGGTGTCAGTGCAAGGGACAGATCAGTGTGAGGTGTCAGTGCAAGGTGGGGGTACAGATCAGTGCAGGGTACAGATCAATGCAGGGTGTGAGATCAGTGCAGGGGACAGATCAGTGCAGGGTGTCAGGGACAGATCAGTGTGGGGTACAGATGAGTGCGGGGTAGAGATGAGTGCGGGTTGTCGGTGGAGATGAGTGTGGGGTGTCGGGTACAGATGAGTGCGGGGTGTTGGGGACAGATGAGTGTGGGGGACAGATGAGTGCGGGCGCTGGCTAGAGATGAGTGCCGGGTAGAAATGAGTGCGGGGTGTCCGGTACAGATGAGGTCGGGTTGTTGGGGGACAGATGAGTGCGGGGTGTTGGGGACAGATGAGTGCGGGGGGTTGGGGACAGATGAGTCTGGGGTGTTGGGGAAAGATGAGTGCGGGGTGTTGGGGACAGATGAGTGCGGGGTGT